TGGCGACATCTGAGATGCCAATCAAATCTGTAGTTTAGGTATATAATGTCGATCTAACCTATTGAATTGGTTTTGACCAATTATATTGGTTGAAATTGAGGAATGGTGGTTCAATCTCGACCTCGATTCAATTCTGTTTACCTTTACTTATTTTACAATGCATAAAATTGGAGTAGCCAATGAAGGTAACGACAGGCGTCAGGATGCTGGTGGTAACCGAGGCTACCGGAGATTAAAGAGAGTAAGGATTAAACAGAAGAGATCTAGGAGCAATGACGGCTGATGGAAGATAGTAGGGTTTTTAAACATATTGCTTAATAGGATTGTACATGGTGTTATAAGAATTATACCTCTTAATTTTTAAAAAATAGACAATATGTTTAATAACATAGTAAAGATAAAGATTATATTACCTTTTTATTGTGTAAAAAATGACCACAAAATAACTAATTACAAGTTAAAGCAATGAATTTTTATTTTGACATATTTGTTAAAAGCCGCATGCAAAATTGACCAAATGTAATTTCTCCGATTCTTAAGTATTCAACCATTTTGTAAACGTATTGTACCCATATACAAACTCCACAAACAAACTAACAAAGTGAACCTTTTAATACTCTACACTTTCGATCCTTATACTTATAAGTTAATTGCTAAAATGAACAAATATTATTTTATTTCATATTTAACCCGACTAACCTTATTAATCTGACCCGACAAACCCGAAACCCAACTAACCCTAACCCGACTAATCTGAACCTTAATAGGGTCAGATTTAGGGTCAATTTTTAAAAATGAAAAACCCAACTATCCTACTCGATTAACGTGAAACCCAATTGAATTAACTTGAATAATAGCCTTAGCCCCTAGGTGGATGTAAGGTTGGAGAGAAAATGAAAGGGAAGGTAGGAGTGAGATTTTTTATTTATTTTATTTTATATTTTCTTTTAAGCCGGTCAAAGTAAAATACAAAAAATAAAACAAAGGTATACAAAAAATATTTTATATGGGTGAAAACCAAACAAGAATCTAAAAAACCATATGACCATTTATATAGTTTTTTCTAAACCAAACGAGATCATTTTTAATTTTAAAATATAAATAAAGCCTAAAGTTTATTATGAGATACTAAACGATGTCTTAAAAAGAACATAAACCATGAGTTTCAAACAACATTTTTAGAAGAAATATTAGGAAATATGTTATGTTGCTTGAATATCCGTATCTTTCGCTATCTTACAAAGATCAAATCGATTTGTCATGAAAGAATCTTATCCTTTATTTAAGGGAAAATGACTCTTGACGGTAATTAACTTTTGCGTTTGTACTCATTTGGTCCTTTTTTTTTTTTTTGTATTCAATATATCATTGAACTTGTTGTTGGTGTTTACCATAGCTCTTTTGACCGGCTTTTGACCTGTGATAGCCGGTCAAAGGGTTATGGTGAACACAAACAACAAGTTCGATGGTATATTGAGTACAAAAAAAAGGAAAGGGACCAAATGAGAACAAACGCAAGAGTTGGTTACTCTCCTGATTCATTTTCCCTTTACTCATTTACAACAAATCTCACATCATCTCCTACTGATATTAATGACTTTATGAGATTTATTCTTGCTTCTCTTCAAAACATAACCTACGAAAGGACATTATTCATACATGTACAACTTTGTAATGCACTTGAATATTTATTAGGGGAATCTTGACTAAGCAGGCGCAATTCATGACTACATTTACATTTTCAATCAAATGATTTATCGTATCATGGATTCTAGACAAGTCTACAAACGAGTGGAACCACAAGTGCTATGATTTTGAGTTTACTTAGATTTAAGATCGAACTCATGGGATAAGATGTTGGCTAAGGTGTCTAAGTCCATAACTTATTTGGTATATACTTGATCCGACCCGGCATGGTCCATTTGGATTGCACTTCACCCGAACTATTTATGGATAATTTTATAAGAGTTATACACATATGATTATTAATATATTATAAGTTATAATATATTAATATGAAGTCATGTTATTTAATTAGTCTTAGTCTTAAATTAATTATGAATTAATTTAGAGATTAAAAGGAAGACTAATTAGATTGTGGGCTATTGGTTTTATATGGTGTGGGCTAACACTCATTTGTTAATGGGCTAGGCTTGTATGGAAGTCCATGGATGATCCATGGAGCTTTTAACCCATGGATCCTTGGAAAAGGAAAGGTCATGGGTTATTAGGGTTTCACCCTAACCATGCATACTATATAAGCATGCTTATGTTGCATGAAATAGCCACTAGTATGTGTGTTTGTGTGTGGCTTAAATTATAGTGTGTATACACTCTCTCAAAGTTTTCCAAGTGTTTGTGGTGATTTGTGATTCCATTTGAGGCATTCACACTATTGGTTCTTGGCCCGCAAACTCCTTAGGAATCAAACTCATCATCAAAAGGTATGTAATCTCATCTAATTCTTTTATGTTTAAAAGTACCCCATGCCATGTTAGATAGGTTATGAACCTTGGAAAATTATTATTTTTCATGTATTTAGACAAACATAGATCCAAGGTTTATTAGGGTTGCATGCACACTTAGGAAGTGTTAGATTGCTCAAAACCCAACATAAGATACAACATCAATATGTATAATATTATGGTGATGTGTCTACAAAAGCAACATGATATTGTACATATTGATGTTATATCTTATCCCATGAGTTCGATCTTAAAGCTAAGTAAACTCAAAAATCACAGCACTTGTGATTCCACTCGTTTGTAGACTTGTCTAGAATCCATGATACGATAAATCATTTGTTTGCAAATGTAAATGTAGTCATGAAATGCCTACTTAGTCAAGATTCCCCTAATAAATATTCAAGTGCATTACAAAGTTGTACATGCATGAATAATGTCCTTTCGTGAGTTATGTTTTGAAGAGAAGCAAGAATGAATATCATAAAGTCATTAATATCAGTAAGAGATGATGTGAGATTTGTTGTAAATGAGTAAAGGGAAAATGAATCAGGAGGGTAACCAACTCTTGTGTTTGTTCTCATTTGGCCCCTTTCCTTTTTTTTTTGTACTCAATATACCATCGAACTTGTTGTTTGTGTTCACCATAACCCTTTGACCGGCTATCACAGGTCAAAAGCCGATCAAAAGGGCTATGGTAAACACCAACAACAAGTTTGATGGTATATTGAATACAAAAAAAAAAAAAGGATCAAATGAGTACAAACGCAAAAGTTAATTACCCTCAAGAGTCATTTTCCCTTTATTTAATCAAGACAAAATCACATAAATGGTCCGTTTGTATATAGAAATAGTCAATTCTAGTCAAACTTCAAAAAAGGACAAACTTGGTCCTTTTGTTTTGGCGATATTGTTGAAATGATCCTTTCCTTTTTCTTTTTCATATTTTTATTTCGTGACGATTACCTTCCATTTCCAATATCTACCTCCAAAACCAATTTCATCATCTAAACAATTGTTTATTTTGTTTAGACAATTATTTTCAGCAAATTCCAAAAGTCAATTTTGGTAGCTCAAAACCTAATCTACAAATTAAACCCCAATATGCAAATTAGTCGAATAATTAAATTCGTTTATGGCTGCAAGATAAACAAACAAACAAAGATACAAAAGGGAAGTTTCTATGTGCAAGAATCATACAAAAAACGGAGAGTTGCATGGCAACTAGTAGTCAATTGTGGTTTTTAGATTCATGAAGAACTTATTACACAAATATAAAAGATGAAGAATCATAAATTATATATTAACAAATGTAGATCAAACATTGAGAAATTAAAGAATTAATAATCACAAATCCCCTCCCATGTATATTTTTTCCCCTTCACCATCATTGCTCTGGTACAATGTACATTCCACCGCCGTTGTTGGTAATGTAGTAGCATCATCTTTGTTTCTCTCAATCTTCGTTGCTACCATATACTTCGTCATTTTTGTCGGTAATGTAGTAGCAAGTGTCTAGATTCTAGTACTATTTCACATGTCGAGCAAAAATAATGGGTGTGAGAGGAAATCAGGGGTTGAATGGACGCGCCAATAGAGTTTTCAGAAAAAAGGCAAAGGTAGATAGATGTTCACTTGAGGTAAAAGATATGGTTGAAAAGAGAGACACTGATGAACGAAGGTTTTAGTATATAAAGCAAAGGGAAACGGAACAAATTAGAGAGTGATAAGAGATGGTTCTTTGTGGTGTTGGCAGCGATTTGAGATGCAAAGAGGGCTCGACATGTCATCTTCATATGGGCTAGCATTTTTTTTTTTAAAATCTTGTACATAAATGGTCCTTACAACATAGTAAACAAATAACAAAAAAGAAAAATGTGAAAAAGAAAACGTAAAAATATCTACAGAAATTTAACAACATCATTTGACGCGGTGTGTCAGAAGGACCATTTACACAATATTATCAAAACAAAAAGACTAAGTTTGTCTTTTTTTTTTACTAAAGTTAGACTAGAAGGGTTTATTTCCCCATACCGCAGGGACTGTTAATGTAATTTTGTCTTTAAATAATTAAGAGTTTTAAAAAAGAAATAAAATCTGAGCTCCAAAACAAAGTTCATAATGGGAACAGCCGGTTGCGATACTAATCAATGGCGCAGTTACTCTAGACTCTAGAACCTCGAAAACCCAGCAGTCGCGCACCCTCCAAAGTCCAATCACATTTTTCTTTCCCGTTAGCTTTCTCTCAGCAGTCAGGCATCCATTTCGACCTGTAAGTGTTGGAAGCTTTGTATAAATAGCTTCATATTGTCTTGCAAATAAATCAAGCCAGCGAGGTTTTTGCTCTCTAAAATTCTCTCCCTGTCGAACATTTTTACGTGATAACTTGCATACCAATGAAAAAATTGCCTACCTTCGATCTAAGGGCGAAATGGGAAATACCGAAGGAATGGGGAGAGCTCAACTACCATCCATCACCAATAATACGCAGCCAATCTTGATAGCCAAGAGGAGATTGCCTGCATGTACGCTAGCACCATGTCAGCTTTCGCCCCTGAACTGGAAGATGAGTTTATAAAGTCCATGAAAGGCAACAATATAAATCCTCACCGAATTCATATCCCAAGTCAAGCAAAAGCGAGCCGAATAGTGCTGAACGAGCAGGAGAAATACGGGCCAGATGAGAAGCTTGTGCTTTTCGGAACTGGCCTGCATATTCTGTTTAAGAAGATTCGCATGGTGAAAGAGGCCAACTATAACCGATTCGTGACGAATAGTATCAATGTGTTAGGAGGAAAGCTGGGGATGCCTCATGAAATGTTAGCTCGGCTCAAATTCCCACTAACTCATAAGCAGGCTGGTGCAGTGGTAGGAGTGTTTTATATATTGCTTCGAAGGACTGAAGGCTAAAATCATAAGGTATCTGATGTCAGCATGTAAAGAAAAGGGTAATCTGTCTATTGTTGCTAGTTATATGTGTGAGATTCTGGCTTGGTCTGAGATGACAGTGTTCTTCACTATCAAAGAGATGCTTCATGCAACCAAGTCGCCTGTTTTGCAAGACATGTTTATACAACATGAAGTTAGAGCAATCAAGAAGAAGATTGACAATTCTGAGTACCCTCAGTTCTTTCGCTACTTCTGTAGAGGGTTAGACGATATGTATTTGGAACGAGAGAATTTTCCTGTTTTAGCATTGGTGGCTGAAACTGTGAGGTCTGATGAACTCAGGGCTTCCTCATCTGAGCAGGTTGTTGCACAGCCCATGGTAAGTTCAGGCAATGTTCAACGGTTGGTACGTCGTCACCGAAGCTATGTTGCGCTAAGGAAAATCAAGTCTACTGCTCAGTAAATTTCCTTGTTTTTCTTTAATTTTATATATATATATATATATATATATATATATATATATATATATATATATATATATATATATATATATATATATATATATATATTAATTAAGCTATGTTCAGCCATGTTTGCGATCCGTGTTGTGTCTAGGTTGGCAATCTTTTTTTGTAATGGTGGTATGTTTTAGAATCGTTATGTATGTAATTTTCCTTGCCTTGTAATTTTCAGTATATTAAGGTAATATTAACAAGGCTTTAAGTTCTAAAATTCAGTCAAATATATAAATATTAATATTAATAAGGCTTTGATTAAGCACCTTACTATTTTTTTGAAGCGGATTGACGGATTGTTACGATAACACCTGCCGATTATCTATATCCCGTTATTCAAACTCTCGGATTGTTACAAAAATTTGCAGTGTGTGTAATTTCTTTTTGAATATTCAAAATTATTATCTGGGATACTGACTTTCTGAAAGCTTAAAGTTAATTGTTACAAAATAAAACTACAAAATTCATAAAACTGAAAGTGTTCTAAATATACAATGCATAAGAAGCTGTTTCAAAAGTTAAAGAATTCGTTTTAGTATCATATCAACTACTTGTTTTCCAAGTATATTTAAAACATATTTGGTTTATGAAAGTTCACCCCTCTTAATAAAAATTTAAAAGGAGACATCTTATATGGACGGGGATAGAGATATTTCATTATTACAAAAGCAATGTAAAAAAATTTTGCAATTGAAAAAAAATATTCATTAATTTGACATATTAGCTAAAAAGATAGACTTTTTAGCCAATAAATTAACGGATAACTTGTAAGCTAGCTTTTGTATTAAGCTTAACTGGAGGGAGGCTCGGCGTATCTAGATGACATGCTTTTGTCATGGTGAACATAACCCCTTGCCCTCCGGTGCATGAGATGATAAAGACAGCAAGAGAAGGCACCTCAATCTCGATTATCTTTTAGAGATGGAATCATGACCAAGTAATATCGAGGACCTCAATTTTCATCCCCATCCCCGAATCATCATTACAATCCCCATCTCGATCCACATCAAGGAATATAAAATGCATTCTCATCCCCACCCACAGTGGGGACCGTGGATCTTTTGCGGGGAATCAATGATTTATTTTTCCATTTTAATATGAAATTTTTTACGTAAATAACAAACTCTAAATTTAAATTTTACTAACATATGTTTAATGATTTTACAAAACATAAAAATATTTATAAATTGCATAAAAACTGCAAACAAACTTTCTATCAAATTAAATAGATGCAAGGCAATTTAGTAGAATTTTTTTTTTACCATAGTGATATTTGAAGTAACAATAGATAAACCAAAGAGAAAAAAATATACACGATGTTAAATTAGATGAACGAGAAAGGAAAATTATAACTTTAACCAAATAATTAGTAATGAGTTAAGTTACTTGGATCAAATTTTAGGTTTTGTAAAATTTTACTATAAATATATGTTTTGTATTTTTTTTTATATATATTAACATCTACTGGGATCGGATCCAAGGTCGATGATTACGGGTATTTCAATCCGCACTTTGTTTATTCGGGGATTCCCTATCCCTAGTCAACCCGGATGCGGGTTTCGGGTTCCCCATCAGGTATGTTTTTTTTTATCCCTAGTATCCATCTTCATTCTCTCCTTTTTTTGCCACACTTTTTTGCAATTAACAATTCATATTGAATGACAAGTGTTGATGGAAATTATAAGGTAACAAGGCAAGTTACTATTTTCGTTTATCCCATATTGGTAGGTAAATAAACATTTTGTGGATTTATATTGCTTTCCTCTTGATAAGTTGTAACGTTCCAAAAATAGTAAGTGGATTTTTTATTTTTAAGTCATTGAAAACTATGAATCATTCATTTCAGAAACCAATCAAGTGTGACAATGTAGAAAATAATTATCATAGTACAAATCAAAATGTCACACCCCATACCAAGAACGGCGGAAAAATCTGGGGGTGGATGACTTCATGTACAACATCATAACAATTGAATAATAAAGATCAAAACATTACAACCATCATATTGATAAATTTTAAGTTTTTACATTGTATGCGAATCCTTGTTTGTTTGATTTCCAATACATATGACAAAAATACATGACATGATGCTGCTACGCCTCATCTTCAAAAATATCCTTATGGGTATCTGTTTACTGATTTCCTGAAAATACAAATAGTTTTGAAAAATTGTCAGCAATTAAGTTGGTGAGTTCATAAGCGTTTTGTATGAGAAAAATCTATCATCCTTCATTGTAAGATGAAAGAGTATGATTGCCGAAAATCCAATATGTTCTTGTTAAATGAATTGTAGGTCTAAATCCCAAGACCAAAATGATAAGTAGTATTGTACTGAAAAATAATATAATGTAGTTTTATCATTAAATAAAACTGATTGAACATAGTGTGTTTCCTTGTAAACTAATAGAGTGTACTTCCAGAAAATATAATATTTTCTTTTAAATGAAATGTAGTCTTAGATACCCTAAGATTGATATGTATAAGTACTGTACTGGAAGGTGAAATAGTGTAGTTTTATTATTTAAATAAAACTAATTGAAGATAGTGTAAGTTAGCACCATAAACCAAATGTATTGTTAATACCCCATATGAGTTATTATAACCATGTTAGTGATTAGTTGGTCTGCTACGATGTTCTTCAGGCGTCAGAATGTTACGACATTGTCACTCCAGACTTGCCGGTCTAACTGTAGCTAACAATTTAGATGCGATATTGTCAGTACCGTATAGATTTATACACAAGTCTCACACTCTCTTACCGAGACTCTAATTATAATTCAAGAACTTTAGTATGTACTCTAGTAGGTACGGGGAAGCCAAATCTCTCACAAAATTTGTATTAACCGGTTTACGTATAATGTAATGAAAACTTTTTTTCTCGTAAATGAATGTATTATCCTTCCATGGTGGTTACATAGTGTAAAAATAATTATACTTTTAAATAATTATTTCTTTGTCCTAAAAGGGTAAAATAATATGAATGCTCATAAACTATACCTATTATAGTTTATAAAAATGTTTCGTTGCACTGAAAAATCATTTGTATGAACAATATCATTCTACTATAATAAAATAATATGGAATGAAATAATTATATATGTATTTTATATAATTATTCACTTTTGTTCAACATGTTACAAAAGTGGTAAAGTTTCGTAAACTATTTTTATATAGTTTATTATCGTAATCGAATTTGCACCCATTATATATATATATATATATATATATATATATATATATATATATCCGGTAAGAATTTTTTTTTTTGACTTATTTTTTTGGCGAAAAAACCAAATGAATCAATAATAACATGATTCACCAAAAACAAATCCGGAAAAAACATTTCGATGATTCATTTTTATGATGATTTTGATGATATTCACTAAAATTGTCATAAAAGTGATTTTTTTTTATTTACCTAAAAATGAATCATGAAAGTGTTTTTTTCGGAATTTTTTTTTGTGAATCATCTTACTTTTGAATATATATATATATATATATATATATATATATGTATGTATATATATATATATATATATATATATATATATATATATATATATATATATATATAAGAAAATCATAGCGTATTTACATAAAACTTTTTATTTATGTATAAGTTCGCAAGTTTGGAGGTAAAAGTCGTTTCATGAATTTAACATTTTTGTATAACAAGTAACAAAACATATTTAACCATTTTATAATTTAACACAAGTTGTCTTATGTTTTACTTGTATTTCCCCCTAAAACATAGAAAAAACTTGAAAACTGTAGGGGTATGAACTCACCTCGAGTGTATTCGTGACCGGATAACAAGATGAAGGTGATGATCTTTAAGTTAGAACACTTGAAGGTGTTTGTATCCTATGAGTTTTTAACATATAATAGTGTATGTAAATTAGATGAACTAACATGAAAGTGTTGTATAAACATTGGATTTAACAAGGATATTTACAATAAATTCCTAAGAATCAACTTGAAGGACTAGTTTCTTAGGGATGTTTTAAGATGTTTCTGGGAAAATGTATGAAGTTTTGATGATGTTCGTACTTCTTCTTGAGAGAAAAGTGGGAAACTTTGAAGATGGAAATGAGGATTATGAAAAGTGATTTTGGCCTATTATATAGATGGGGGTAAGGCTGATGTGATATTTGCATTGGTTCGTGTATTTTATCTCATTGGGAAACGATTTACCAATCACATTGTAGCACCACCTAATCAAATTGGTGATTTCTGCCTAAGCTCCACCGAAATCATTTTTAAACCACCGAAATCACATGTGATTTCGGTCCTAGGTATGATTTTGATCAAGTATGATTTCGGTCCAGAACCACCCATATTTCAAGGTTTTTGGTCCTGTACCACCACTAATGGTGATTTCGGTCTATCACAGCCGAAATCTCAAGGTTTTTGGGTCCCAAAAACCGAAAACCCTAAAAGCAAGGCATAATTCATGCTTCATGTCCTAACTATTTGACTTTTGTTGTCTCGTTTGACTCTAGTTGACTTATTTGACTTTTGTTAACCTAGAATAGTCGGTTGTCACATAAAATGATAGAACGTGAAACACTGGTGGATGTTGTGTGATCATGCCAGATTATTTCCCTTCGAACCAGAGGTACCTAAAACCATAACCATAAACCGTAACCACAAAGCTTAGTGAGTTCCCCCAAAATACCACATACCATACATACATCGGGGCCTCCCGGTACAGACCTGTTAATGACATGTAATGGGCCTCGCCCAACACATATAGTGGGTCCCATCCAAATATACATACAAATACATGCAAGAGTCAGAAAGATAGATAACATACTATAAACATAACCAATGGGCCAACATTGGTGCCTTCGACCCGTAAATACTGTGTGGAGACTCACCTTAATCAAAAGATAACCGAATCACACACGCGCTGCTGCTACAAGGGTTCCTCACACTAAACATATCC